GATGGATGGATGGATGATGGATGGATGGATGGATGATGGATGGATGGATGATGGATGGATGGATGGATGATGGATGGATGGATGATGGATGGATGGATGATGGATGGATGGATGGATGGATGATGGATGGATGGATGATGGATGGATGGATGATGGATGGATGGATGGATGGATGGATGGATGGATGGATGATAAAGGACTGATCTTCAGATTTTGCTGGGAGGTACAATTATCTTAAAACTTATTACAAGTTGCAGTGTCAAACTTAAGGCCCACAGGCCAAACCTGGCCCTCGTTAACAGTTTTTATGGCCCCAAAAGTAATATTTTTAATACAAAATAGTTTTATTGTATCTTTTTTTGTTACTGCATTTGTGACCCATCACATCGAAAGATTAAGTCTAAAAGTTGTATATGGAGAAATAGGCAAATATACTGTAGTGTTTTGATTAAAACATTTGCAAAAATAGCATTTTGTCAAAACATAATGAATAAAAGCCTTATCAATGTATCCTTTGAATTAACTGTCTGAAATATAATAACAAAACAAAATTTTGAAGCACTTTTTTGAGCAGTAGCAACAAAAAAACTGATTTTGAGAAAAAATGCCTTAAAAATTTTCAGATTTTCCCTGTGAGTTAGCAAAGTTTTTTTCTTATCAGCTAGGAAATCTCAATAATCAAATATAACTTAAGGTTTCCTCTTTATAAGGACATCAAAAATTCCTCATTAAAATGACATAAAATTAGGATTCAGACCAAATATTTATGTATTATTGTAGCCAACAAGACAAATTAAGTGGTCGGTTGGTCGGTCGGTAGGTAGGGTTTTATTTATATAGCACCTTTCACAGAAATACATTCACAAGGTGCTGTACATTCAGGGAAGGGGGGAGGGGGCAGTTAAGACCAGTCATGCAGCAAAACACAGTCGTGCTACCTTAACAAGAAAACAACAGAAAAACTAAATACCACACAATGGAAGATGAGGAAAAAAAGCAAAAACATCATATTTTATCAACACTGTGACACACTATGGTGTTTATGAAAAAACCTCTGCATAGGGCAGATTTATTAGTCATATATATGGATTTACATATGATATCAGAATGAAGCAGGTATCAAAATATAATGTTTAAAGCCAGGAATCTGAAAATGTAATGAGGTCATTTTGACCAAATTTGACTTAATCCTCATTTCGATATGATGGGTCACATTTAGTGCAGTCATCTCATGACAGTAGTAAACTAAATTAATTGATTTTTAGTGAGGGTGTTCTTTTTTTAAGTGATTTGTAATAAAAAAATGTATCTCTCAGAAATGATAAATTACTGTATTTATTCATGTATAATACTAGAAATTTAACCCTAAAAACCAGCCATAAAATGGGGGGATAGTATTATACACAGGTTATTGATAATTAGATTATTATGCTTTGTAAGCTCAAGAAATGATGATCGTATTATACATGAATAAATACATAAAAGTTTTAAACACTGTATGAGGCATAAACCAATGAATGTTAGTGTTGTGGCTTTATAAATGTAATCCTTTTTTTGTCTAATCCTTTTCATATGTTCTAAATGCTACATAAAATATAATTTGAAAAAAAAAGACTTTTTATTTTTATAAGAATAATTGTTTATATAAAATTTAAAATTTTTATCAGTACATGTTGACAGAGATTAGCTGAAGTTTTGAATTTTGGTTCTCTCGTGAAAATGAGTTTGACACCTCGGGTTTAATGGATCAAATCTAAGTCTTCAAGGTAAAACATATACATTGTCAAACCTATTATTTAATTGAAAAAATAACATAAAATCCACACTAGAAGGAATGAAAAACAATGGGTGATAAGCATTACTTCTAAGCGGCCTTAAATTGATTATTTGAATTTAATTTCAGAGACAACCTATGAAAATGCTACTGTTGTTCAACACAAATGTCTTAAAGCAAACTGTCCTTTTTTAAACCCAGTTCCTGGGAATCTCTGACTCGTCAAACTAGACTAACAATAATCTTCAGATATTTCTTCCTTGCAGTGAGGTAATCAGTCCTACTTGCAGGTGAACTGGATAGTTCAGTTTTATACATTACTGCTGTAACTTTCCTCCCTCTGGATTGCTGCTGCACTAATCTTTGCAGCAGTTGCTCACCAGCTTTTGACTTACAGCACTTTTGTAGTTTGCAAAATAAACTAACCTAAACATTTGCATTTCAATTCAAATAAACTGATAACTATTATTTATCTGCAGTGGTGGGCAGCGCTAATCCAAATATTAGCTCCGCAATTTCTAAAGCGCTTATGAAAATATTTAGGTCCACAGCTTCAAAAAGCTCTTATCCCATAGAAAAACTAGTAGAAGCTAATTTTAAAACACAACTTCAATTTGACACTTACTAGCTGACAATAATTCATGTACAATATTTGTACAACACTGCCAACTAGCAGTGTATGAACCCTTGTGCAGCTAAATCCTACAAGTACCGATTGCTGGGGAAGTGATTTCCTGAAACAGACCTTTGGCTCCTGGTGTAAAAATTAAAAAGTTGTTGAGGATTGCTAGTTCGGCTGCTTCTTTGTCTTTTTCTTTTGTTGTAGATTTTTCATTAAAGAAGCATCAATAAAGTAATTTCAAAACTGTTTATTGGAAACTGAAGCGATGCATTCTGGGTACATGACGGATTTGATTTGTGACGGGAAACGAACGTTTTCCATGTAGTTGCTCCAGTTGACCACTAGATGTCAGTCTTCATCAGCATAACATCTTTAAACCATTTCTGCGTCTCCAATCCCGTTGGCGGATTAATTCGACCAATTACGTCAAGTATTGAGCGTTTAAACTTTTATTTTTTTAAAAAGGAGCTCCGATTGTAAAGTAAAATAAATCAATACATACAAAATTTTAGTATGGATTACAAACGTTTACTGTTTTAGCTGGGACAGGGGGTACTAAACACTGCTTTCCTGCTACGTAAACAGACACAAAGCATTGTGGGAAATCAGAACCATGACCGAAAGCAACAGTCAGCAGGATGTATACCTTCACAATAAGTGTGTTTATCAGAGGTTACTATTAAAGTCAGGGATGTTTTGCACACTTTTAGTGTTTTTTATATAATTCTGGATTAAAAACATGCCGTGTTGCATCATTAATGGTTTTACTTCATGTTTAATTTCTGTCTTCCTGAAGGTCTTCCATGATATTGCATACAAAGCAAAGGACAGGAAGGACCTGCTGGCTGGAATCGAGGAGTTTCTGGATGAAGTGATCGTCCTGCCTCCTGGGGAGTGGGACCCTGACATCAGGATAGAACCGCCCAAATCTTTGCCCTCCTCGGACAAAAGGTTCGCTCAGAGCTGCGCCGTCGTCCGACTGAAACGAGTTGTTTTGAGGAGGCAAATCTTGTTTTCGAAGTTCGTCCTGTTGGACCTCACTGACAAATGGAGAATACTTTCAGAGCAGATTTTGTTATCACATAAATTTTGACATTAAATAATGGAAAAACTAATATTCGAACCTTTGTCATGGGATTCGTTTCACACTATATTTCTGCAGAGATATTAAAATTCTGACTGCTGCTGCTTACTTCTGTGCCAGTCAATAACCACAGCATTTTATGTAAATACCTGGAATTTAAAACTGAAATTTATTTTAAAAAACTGATTTTACAGTTTTAAACTAGACAAATTGTGTCAGAAATTTACCGAGAGGGTGTGTTTGTTTTATTTCCAAAGGAAGAACATGTATTCCGGACAGGAGGCCCCTCAGATGAACGGAGACACCCCTCACGAAGCGGGACATGGTGGAGGAGGTGGAGGAGGAGGAGGAGGAGGAGGAGGGGGGCACCATGTTGGAGAGGAGCTTCAGCGAACAAGAAAGTAATTCTTACTAAGAAACGACTCAGTGTGTGATAGAATCAGGAAAAAACCCTAAAACCTCTGAGACATCAGCTGATTTTAGTTTAAAACATTCAAATGAAACAATGGGATTTTAAGCCCAGATGAAGGTCTAATCCTCATGCTTATAATCCTCATCGTACCTGAGAGCTGTCAGGGAAGATCTGCAGACTTCCTCAAATATCTGCCGAACAACAGAAACGCTTCACGCTTCATTAACGTCCCGATTTTCTTTTTAATGAGTTTTCGTCACACCTCGTGCGCATCAGGTGTCCCTGTTGTGCTTGAATGAGAGAAAAAACACAAACTCGCTCACATGAATGAATCTGTTCTATAAGGTTCTGTGGGGGTCTCGTCCTGGACGTGAAGAGGAAACTCCCATTTTTCGCCAGCGACTTCTACGACGCTCTGAACATCCAGTCCCTGTCCGCCATCTTGTTCATCTATCTGGGCACCGTCACCAACGCCATCACATTTGGAGGCCTGCTCGGAGATGCTACTGAAAACATGCAGGTAACCCCC